ATCAATCTTATTCATTTTAAGTTCATCATTTGACATCCCGTGAAACTTTCTCTTTCCCTCATGACAATTCTGTCAATACATACATACATACATACATACATATATATAAATAATACAATACACAATATATCAAGCGCTTAAATAATGCTGGCTCATGTTAAAAACCAACCAAAACTCCGATTCGTTGTTCACTTCGAACATGATATTATCATCTTTTTTTTTTTTTTCAGTTTTTTGTTTTCAAGTTTTTATTTTATTTTTCGTTTTGTTTCTATGATAGAAGCATGTTTCTTGTGTTTCTGAGTTGAGTTTCTGATCTAATGTCTTAAATTCTTTTAGTTTAAATTTCAAGAATTTAGGGTTTAATGAAATCTTTTTTTCCCAACTCAATCAAATCAATCATTTGAGGGGAAAAAATCAATTTTCAAAAATTAAGGTTTAGATTGATTGGAATATATTATCTAGTGCTTGTTAATGTAATTTACCTTTGCTTAAGAGCTTAATCAAGAACAATGCACATGCATACACACATATTTACACAAGCACATGTGCATGAATGGACACGCAATACATGTCATGATATGAATGTGAATTATAATAGAGAATGGGATTGGGTATTATAGAGAAAAGAAAAACAAAAAAGACAAAAACTCAACTTGTTTTATAGCTCTAAATTTGAATTATAAATGATATGAACTCATTAAGCAACTTGTCCCAGGAACCCAAAACACTAAAGTCGAAAGTTACACTGACGAACTCCAAAACAAATAAAGTTGTTGGATAAAGAATTATAAAACTGAGTTATTAAAATATCGCAATCTAGTTCTGATACCAATTTGATGTGAATTCAATAGAAATTTATTCTAAAAAATTTAGAAGTTACAAATTGGTTAAAGAATTGTGAAAGAATAAGTAATACAAGATAGATAATAAAAAAAAGAAGTAATTTTGGAACTAGGATTAATCCAATGAACATGCATTTAAATCAACCAAGGACTTGAAATTTTCTACTTGGCTACAAGGAATTGTGACTCGACTATGTCCTTTGCTCACATTAGCACTAGATAAAGACTTTTGTATGACTCTCGTGATTCTTGTTCCACCATATTCATCGATGATCTTTTATTCAAATTCTTTCAACAAGCCTGGTGGTGGTGGATTTTGGTGGCTACCCAGTTTCTTATTGTTCTTCTTTCTCTTCATTTCTATAGCCTCAATCCACTCTTTGTTGCTTATAGTTTCTTCTAATTTTCTCTTTAGTGTATTAGTCTTTCTTGAAGACTTGTTGATAATTGAGTCTTGCACTTTTTGGCTTCTTTCTGCTACACAAAGAAAGTAGTCAATCAAGTAAACCATAACAAAATTATAAGACTAATTTTGAAACATATGATTTGCCAATTGAAATAAAGATATTACCTTCAATCAAATCATTAGACTTTCTTTTTCCTTCATTTATCATTGAGGAATCTTTGATGGCATAGTTGATGAGATTTTGGTCCTTATTATGTCATCTTCTTATCACAAATTTAAGATCCTTCATCCTTTCTTTAACCAATGTTGTTTGAGCTCTTTTAGAAGACACATTATTTATACCCAAGTTAGGCTCAATATTTTTATTATTTTTATTGACCAAATCATACTTTTTAGTAGTTACACAGGCAACTTGTAACAGCATCTCAAAAGAGCTCCATTTGTTTGTAGGCCTGAATTTGAATTCTAAATAATGATATGAACCCGTTAGGCAACTTGTCCTAGTAAACCAAAATTAAACTCAGAAAACACCAATGAACTCCAAAACAAAGTTATTTGATAAAGAATTATAAGGCCGAGTTATTAAAATATTGCAGCCTAATTTTGATACCAATTTGATGTGGATCCAATGGGAATTTGTCCTAAAAATTTGAAAGTTACAAATTGGTTAAAAAATTATAGAACCAAATAAGTAATAAAAAATACATAATAAAAAAAACCCTAAGCATATGAAACTCAATATCCAGTAAAACCAATGATTTAAAAATTCCAAGCATAACAACACAAGAGTATATAAATATTTTATGCTAGGGAGTATAATTCTCTCAAGAATACATGGAAGTCATACACATGAACTCCAAAACAAGCAAAGCTGTTGGATAAAAAAATTACAAGCCTAAAGGAGATTGCAACTTCACTCTGATACCAATCCAATTTGAGCAAACTTTTTCTTGAAAATTCAAAAATTACAAATTGGTTAATTAACTTGACTACGAAGAATGGTCAATCTACTCCGTCCTTTGCTTACATCCAAATGAAAATTTCAATTTTAAGGTTGAGGGGAAAAATTTTCTACTCCCCTCTCCTCTTTTCCTCCCCTTCCTTTGATAAAATCAATCAAATACTACCTTAATTATTATTTCAGTCAAAATATCATATAATTGGTTTATTAGAAATTTGATGTTCTTGTCAGTCTCATCGGGGATCAAGCACTTCAAAATCGCCCTTCAACTGAAATTATTCCTTCATTGCATATTATTAAATAATTTGCATTATCAAAACATACAATTCCTTTCTTGATGTTTTCCCCTTCATATCTTTGACTTAATGGAATTAATAAAAAAAATTATTTTCCTAAATTGAAGGTGCTTAATTAATTATCTCTTTAATATCTAAATTGTGATTTGTATTAAGTGTTCCTTTGCTTGTCATGTCCATAGAAATTTGGACCTTACAAGTAGGACGGTAGAAGCTCTGTTTAAACAGGAGTCCAAAAAAATGACTAGATATGTTATGTTGTCAAACATATATGCAACATCAAGGAGATGGAATGATGCCAATAGAATCAAAAAATTGATGGAAGAGAGAGGCTCAGAGAAAGAGGCAGGTTGCAGTTGGATTGAGTTAAGAAATACAAGACATGAGTTTATAGCCAAGGACAACTGTCACGGCCAAATTGTGGAGATATGTGGAATGATTAGTAAATTGGTCCATAATATGAAAGATGTTGGATACCAATATCATATCAGTTGTCATTTTCTTCTGATAACTAAGAAAATTTTTTACTTTTATGAGATCATACTTCTTAGTTTGATTGTTAGGAAATAGAAATATTGGTTTGATGTGATTAATGTGCTCTTTAAGATAGAACAGCTCTTTTGAGGTTCTATACGCAGACCGTATCTCTTTCTAGAGGTCCTTTTAATATTGTTTAGTATTATTGTTGTCTGTTATACTCTAAGAATGTATGATGTGTTTGGCAACAAATGTATCACTTTCAATTGTATTTACAATTTTATCATGAACCCTTTTGATCAGTTATAAGAATTGATTTGCATGAGTTTCATTCATATACTGTTGTTCTTGGCACTTTTCAATCTTTCATTTAGCTTACTCTGTGCGTACGTGGGTGTGTCAACTAAATACAAAACTAAGCCGGGCCTATAAATGAAAGTTGTAAACTAGAAGTCTGAAAGTCAAAAGGGGTCTTTCAACAAAGTGAAAAACGATGGACTTCAATGTCAATTTCAATTGGGACTTGAACATAGAAGCCCAAACAAATTTAGGTGGAGTAAGGGAATTTTTGTATTGAATTATCGATGATGATCTCCTATTTCATCAAAACCTCCCATGTATATCAATCGAGATACATAAAGCTCCTTCTGATTCTAAATATAAAAGTTAGATGACTAATTTATAAAAATTAAGAAAAAATGCATGTTGGTTTTTCTAATTTTTTTTAATTATTTGCATTAAAACTATCTGTGGATGAAAGTTCTCTTAATATCTGCAATCAATAAATATTTTTTAGAAAAAAAAAATATAAATTTGGGAGACAAAGTGAATTAAAGTTTTATATTGTAGCCAAAGCCAAAAAAGAACTCTAAAAAAAGCCTAAAGATACACACTATCACACAACCAAACCAGAAAAGGAAAAAAGAAAAAGGCAAAACAATCATAGTTCATCAAATTAAAACAAACAATATTACAAAGTCACAATAAAAATACAAATATAACAACTAACAGCAAATAGAAATAAACTCGAGAACTATAACAAGCTTGAAAACTCAACCAATTGCACTTCTTTCAGCCCCATACTCTTTCTCAATCCTCATGCCTCATGCAGAATCATCTTCCATCCTCATATCACTAGCCATCTACTTCTCATACTGAGATGACATAATGTAGTTCCCATCTTCTTCTCCAATTTGCACTATCACTATATTCCTACATAGCACACCCATTACTGCAGAACCATTTTCTGGATCAAAAGATTCATCACAATTAATTTTAAGCAGTCCCTCTTCCGGAAATCCACTTTTTCCTCCTCCTTCTCCTCTATCATGTTCCACCTTTTAGCACTCCAAATTCTTTAACTGCTCTACCATTAAACAAACCTTTTGATTAGCTTTTATATTTAGGGTTAGAGAGTATGTATAAATGTGTTTCTTTAATTTCCTTTTCTTTTGCTAAAACCCATGAAAAAAATATTAAACAAACCATGTAACCATTTCTTTTGGTACACATACACATTGAGTAACTTCAATGAAGCTTGCTTGATTCTTGAAGATTCACTTTTGATTTATTGAAATGAACATAGGCTCAATTAGGTTGCCAAAACAATGGGCTCAAATCAAGTGCCGCTTTTGCAAAATAACTGCATCAACATGTAACAATGGAACTGATTCCTCTACTTGTTTAGTTGATTTAATTGAGCTTGCTTCATATATAAATGATATAGAACTAAGCAAAACAAAAACAAATCACTGAATTAATTGATAAAGAACATCTAGCTTATTATAACTCATAGAGAAGCTAAAAAAGAGTAAACTGGTTTATGCTTTTATTGCAATCAAGCTCAATTACACTAAAATAATGGGCATCTAAATTCTAACTGTGTTAAAAGCCTACACTACCATCTACAATTGAAAAAAGTCATTTGTGGGCAAAATTTGAAGCTCTGAATTGAATTCCTTTGTGCTTCTGTTGACTTGTTGTGTTGCTTCTCTTTATCTTCTTCATCATCATCCTCAAAGCTTGATAAGTGCCATACAAAGCTTGTTTTGAACATCACGGAATGCCCAAATCTGAACAGTGTCACTTTGTTGAAGTTCATCTCTTAAAACTATTGTATTCCAGTTAGTTCTCAAAACATACTGATAACTTACTTTCTGTAGATCATTCTTATCTTTATGCAAATCCCACTGTCCAAACTCCATTGATGTTTCTATAAGAGGAAGAGCCACCCCATTTCTTCTTGGTGTGTGAATCAAAGGCACTGTAATGGATTGCCCAAACCTTAACTGTGTCATCTCATTATCATCCAAGAACCTGAAGCTTTCAACTTGGCTGCACGGAATTGTGACCCGACTATGTCCTTTGCTTACATCAGTACTAGATAAGGACTTTTGTATGACTCTCGTGATTCTTGTTCCGCCATATTCATCTATGATCTTTCTTTCAAATTCCTTCAACAAGTACGGTGGTGGTGGATTTTGGTGGCTACCCTGCTTCTTGTTGTTCTTCTTTCTCTTCATTTCCATAGCCTCAATCCACTCGTTGTTGCTTATAGTTTTTTCCAATTTTCTCTTTAGTGTATCAGTCTTTCTTGAAGAGTTGTTGATCACCGACTCTTGCAATTTTTGGCTTCCTTTTGCTACATAAAGAAGGCAATCAATCAAATAAAACATAACAAAACTATAGGACTAATTTTGAAACCATATGATTTGCCAATTGAAATAAAGATAGTACCTTCAATCAAATCATCAGACTTTCTTTTTGCATCATGTATCATTGAGGGGTCTTTAATGGCGTAGTAGATGAGATTTTGATCCTCATTGTGTCGTCTCCTTATCACAAATTTTAGAGGCTTCATCTTTTCTTTGACCAGCTCTGTTTGAGCCCTTTTACAATACACATTATTTCTACTCAAGTTGGGCTCAATATTTTCATTGTTAATATCGGCCAAATCATACTTTTTTGCAGCAACAGAGACAACTTGTAAGAGTATCTCAAAAGAACTCAAATTATGATTACTCTGTTCCATGCCTTCAAAATCTTCCATAGTCAAGACATCAGACATTTTCACTATTTCCTTTTTCTGCATAAACAATGTAATGTATCTCTTATTTAGCATTAAATAAATCTATATATACATAAACAATGTAATGTATCTTCTTCTGTTGCATCAGATTTAAAGCAACTTGTCAACAATAGCACTGTTTACGCTAAAATGAAACTTCATATTCAGATCATTCCAAGTAAAAGCAGGCTTGAGTTTACCATATACTTGAAACAAAAGAGACACAAGTAGTCACTAGAATATAGCATAGATCATATAATATCTGTGAAATGTATGAGTTAAATGTCATTCTTACACCGAAATCCACAAGCTGACACCATAAAACCCAGAATAACTTCTCTATAAAGAGCAAGAGGGTAATTGATTCATAACTATGTAAGCTCAATTTGATGCCACGAAGTGGCTCAAAACAAACGGATTTCACAACCACCCCCCCCCCCCAAAAAAAAAACAATATTACAACATAAGGGCGTAAACCAAATACGTTTCATGCTAATGATAAACTATTATGCTCCCCGGGCCAAAAAAAAAAAAAAAAAAAACTAATAAGCCCTATTCAATTACAACTAAGGAAAGGTAACAGTAACGATTTTGCATTTCATTAATTTTCCCATTCCATTCATTTCACAGAATCAACTGACGTAGTCATAATGAAAATGATGAGAAAGGCGAAATAGAAATGCTTACGAATTTCTCCAAACTTATATGAAGGTGCGTTCTCTCTGGTTTCCTCAGCTAGTTGGATGCTCTGTTTCTGTTATCCAAAAACAGACAATATTTTATTCTCGTTATAACACTTGAATTTGGCAACATAGGAAATTTGAAATTCACAGATATTAGAATAATCAGAAGAAGAGTAGAAAAAGAAGAAGTTACCCCCAGAAGAGAGTGGGCAGTTGAAGTGTGATGCTCTGTTTGTTTGTGGCTTCAGAAAGTAGAAATGAGTTCACTTTCTGAATGTTGAATGTTGAATGTGAGACAAATAATCGTGAACGTGAAATGGGAAAGAAGATTTCTGAATAAACAAATAGAAAGCGGCTTCAAGAGGAAACTTGGCAGGAAAGTATGTCAATTCGGTCCTCTCAGAATTAGGAAACAAACGTAGTTTCCTAATGTGAGATTTTCTTTTTCATTAAAAAAAAAGGTTAATCATCAAATTGTAATGTTATATATATGTGTGTATATTTGTATATATTACCCACTTAAATGATCCCGGTTTATTATAAAGCCAAAACTTTGGTCCGGTTCTTAATTTCGAACCTGATGTTATAGTTTCCTAATTTGAAGTTAGATATTTGATCGTTTTGTTTATATTATAGAAATATGTTTCTTTTTTTTATATATATATAAAAAGAATCAGTTTACATTCCTTAAAATTAAGTAAAAAAATTATTTTTTGAAATTGAAGGTACTTATTTAATTATCTTTCTAATATCTAAATTGTGATTTGTATTAATTGCGGGATCGTCGACATATTTTTTTGAAAAATAATAATTCGTAATTAGAAACTGCACTAATTAAATCACCCAAAGGAGGAGCTTTGTCCGATGCTTTTCAGCAGTTTGCATTCATTTAAAAAAAATCCCTCCAATCCTATATATAAAATACAAATACAGAAATTATATATGTGTGTGTATATATACGCTAAACTTTTGTTAAAATTAATTAAAAACAATAATTATGTAAAATATCTATTTATTTTTAATATACTCTTATTTATAAATAATGCCGATGAGAGTGAATCACTGAGAAAAATAGACTATAAACAATGGATTAAAAAAAGAGATGAGGAGGAGTCTACTAAACACAAGAATAAAATATACTCCTCCGATCCTTATTAAAGACCCCATTTGACTTTTTATTTGGTCCTAATTATAAGACCCCAATCCATTTTGTCTCTTATATTTATGTATTTTTTTCCAAGATAATCCTTCTAATAATGATAGTTTTAGCCAATATACTTAATTAGCAAGGATATTTTAGGAATGACAACACTTATTTATTATAAATAACCAACTTAACTTACTTCCTTAATCTCCTCAAATAAGTCAATTGGGTCTTATAATTAGGACCGGAGGAGTAGTTTTTAGTTAACGTATGATAATTAATCTGAAAATATATAATTAATAGGGATAAAAATAAAAAGATGAATACAACGTGTAATTTATAAAAACATAATCATATTTTAAAAATTATAACTTATGTATAGGATAAAATAGAGTATAGTTGAACAAATTTTGTTTACTTCAAATCATTATAGTTTATTTAATTTTATTTCTACAGAACTCAAATTTGGAATTCTTAAACGTTTAGTTCCAAAAACTATGAGAAATCTTAGAGTTGCATTCATAAGTTCCAACTTGCTGGATTTATGACGATGACAACGAGATCACTTGAATATTTTAGATGTGCTCTATCTATTCTACAAGAGAACTTTGGGAGGATTGATCTTATAAGAAACAAAAACATATTATTTGAAGAATCTATTATAATTTTTCCCCTCAGTAAAATTAATGCAATCAATTGTTTATACCCAATAATCAATTATTAAATGAACATATTAGGGAAAAAATTTACCCATTTAGAAATAAATAGTCTTGTCTGCTTAAAAAATGGTTTTTGACTTTTTACGACTCCTTTACCAAGTGCTTCTCCACGCATACTTTCCATTGACGATCAGCAAAAGCCAATTTTTTTCCTTAAACACTAAGGCCCAAGCCATGTTTTATTTGTAAATTAAAAAAAGAAAAAGAAAATAGAAACAGGACAAATAACTAAAAAGAAATATGCTTGTGTGTTTTATATGTGGCTGTGTGTGAGACAGAGAGAGGGAGAGGAGGGGAGAGAGCAATTCATGTAGAATTTGCACCTACCAACGATAGTGGCACGTAATTAAAATAGGTATTAAAAAGGAAAAAAAAAGGTTTAGAACTCTACTATAGATATTCAAAATTTTTCGGCTACACGTAAAAAGTGAATTTCACAATAATGATTCCGCAGATATCAAACCCGTTCTTCCGCTACTAACTCAACACTGTTTATGATCTAAATCAGCTTCTTCTTCTGAAAGTATCGCTTCAAATGCCACAACTGCAAAGCCGAGACTGTAATGCAGATACCCAAGGACATAATACTGAACCATGCCACTCTGGCGTTTGTTTTCTCGCTTACTATCCTCATCTCAGCTTCTCTAGTAAGCACAAAAAGGCAACATTGCATCAGATAAAATATTCAAAATACTAGAAAATTATTTCTTTTTGCCACTTTTGGTGGGAGAGGGATGTCGCAGTGAAAAATAACCTGCTCTTAAGGTAGATCAAATTCTCATGGATGGCCTCCACGGCTCCTTCAAGCTTCTTCAACTCAAGCTCAACTCCCTAGGCGTTAATGATACATGCAGATACAAATCAGAGTGTGGGAGCTTAAACAAAATGAAAGAAGACAAGGAAAATTTTCAATTCACTTGTGATTTAGTACCATATAACTAAAAATTTCCACCTTATATTCTTGTGGGGGGGGGGGGGGAAGATACCCAGGAAACCGCAGTGCGAGGAGGTTCTCAAGAAGGTTTCATAAAATATTAGACTCATACTTAGACATGGCCTTATGCAGACTTTGAGCCCCTTGAGAGGACTAAGTAAGAAGTTATACGTGAAATTTAAAAATGAATATGAAAATATTTCTGTTCACCTCAATCTTCTCTTTTCTTGCCACTGAATCCCAATCCTTAGCTGCAATTCCAGTTCTCCAATCAAGGTTGACACTAACTTCTTTACCTGCTTCATTGTGACCATCCACCCAGAAGCATGCCAAGTAGTTCCCAGTCTCTTGAGTAGTAAATGCGAATTGACCATCTGTTGCGTTCTCCCTATGGTGAAGAATGTTTCCATATGGTGATGTCACCTGAATAAATCAGACTACTGTTAACAATCAGCAGAGAAATTTACAGCTACAGGCCAGATAAGCCATAAGAACAAGTCAATATTCCCAAATTTCTTATCTTCCCTCTTAATTAATGATATGCTTGTTTCCATTTTAACAAGTTGGCCTAACGGTATGCTTTGATTAAGGATAAGACAAGGCAAAATTTTGCTCAATATATAATTTTCCCTTGTTTAAGATAAGGGTCAACAATAGAGGATTATTCAACATATTTCCATGTTCCTTCAGTACAGAGGATTTTTGAGAATAAATCCATCATTAATTAATTTATTATTATGCATTTCACTGAATCTTGAAATAAGGTATTAATAAAGTAAATTATTATAAGGGAAAATTGGGGATAAATCCCTCAATGCAAATTTAATTGGCAAATGGTCCCTAGGATGATTGATTGCACAAGGAAATATTAGTCACACACAAAGGAAGGTAAGTTGCACAAAAAGAAGATGGTTTGCACAAAATATTATTTGGATGTAAGGGATTAGTTTGCACATAGGGAAGATAACTTGCACATAAGAGAATTTCATTTGCACAAAAAGAAATTGAGTTGTACATCGGACAAAGAAAAATTATCACACACAAGGGAAGATAAATTCCACACAAAGGAAGTTAAATTGCACAAAGTCCTTAGGTCTCATTTACTAATTGATTTTTCAATGAGGGATTTATCCCCAATTTTCCCTTATTATAATCAATCATTTTAACAAGAGACAGATATGAAGCACATGACAATTGAGATAGCAATTAAAATTTGAGTCAGCCAGTTCCTAACATGATTGCCCCATATAAGGACTTTGTAACATCCTGATAAAGATAACCAACTAAGAGAAGAAAATAAAAGCATGTATTTGAGATTTCCGCATTACCAAACCCTCATCTACACCGATCAGAGACCTTTTTCAGGTTATTATTGCTTAGACAATAGAACTTCCAACATTTTTTACCTCCGTATGTAATTTAATATTTATAAACTCATGCAAGCCACTAAAACATTAGTTATTCTTGCTCTTCTCATCGGAAAAGAAAAGAGTTATTCTTGCTCTGCTATCTTGGTGACACCCAGAAGAGCAATAGCAGCATTACTTTATATTTGGAGATATTTTCATCATCAAAACAATTATGATCTTCAGAATCATATTTGATATTTGCAAATCTCTAATACTCAGTTATGTGCGAAGAAAGGGTCCATTGTAGGTTAACATCACCAAGTCATCAAGCCTAGACAAACGTCGCCCAGTACTCAACATCCTAAAACAAAACAACAAATCAGCTAAAGAATTTCCGAATCACCAGTCCAACCCCAGGAATCGATTTCCGAGAACATAGACTACACCAACAGGTTATCCGAAACAACAGTAAACAAATTCCACAAAATTCAGGATCCCAGGTTACCTCCCCCTCGAATTTCACAGAAACCAAACCATAAAAGGTAAAACAAATCCAGAATATGCAACACGACGATACCTTGACTCCAAGGGTGGGATTGTGGGAATGATCATCGGGTACGACGACATAATCAGCCAAAACGACGACATTATTCTGGATTTCTTCGGAGACGCATTTGGTACCGGTGGGGGGTAAAGTAAGCCAAATAGCGTGGCAAAAGGATGAAAAGAAGCAAAGAAGAAGGAGAAGAACAAAGAAGGGCAACAAGATGTGTCTGTTCTCCATAGCCCTTCTCTTTCGCCCTCTCTGTACCGAAGAATTTTGTCAGGGAGGTCTTTGGAAATAACGAAGCACACAACACTTTGGATCTCTATTTCTGTGTCCTCTGGCTCTGGTTCCAGTTTTTGCTTTGCCCCTCCCAATTTGTTTTTCTTTTTCGGTTAATTTTAAAAATCTTTCCTTTATAATTTATGTCTTTGATTTGTGCTCTTTTTAATACCAATGGGAGCTTGACATCTCAGCACAGGTGATGACGTGGCAACAGATGGTTGTTACCTGTGACTAAGCCGAAGAATGATATGAAATGGGCGAGTCACTCCCCGGGCATTAACTATAACTAACGACTTTAAATTCCGGAAATTTTAGAAAAGACCAACATGATTAGTTAGAATTAAAATTGTTTGCGTTAATCTTTTTATTATTCATATTTATTCTCTTAATACTCATATTTATATTTATTTAAAATATTTTTAATACTCATTATTTTGATATCTTTAATAGTTAACTTTCTCTTTTTAGTATTATGTTATTAATTTAATCATTTTACTGCTGAAAAAATTAAATTAAAAAATGCTAAAAATTTAGTATAAAAATATTAAAGATCAATATCTAAAAATTTTATAAAAGAGTATTAAAAAAGAAAAATTACACAAAAGTTCCAAATAGTGCAGTTTATTAATCTAAGATCTTTTAAAATCTCAAAATAAATAGGAAGTCACATGACATTTGAAAGTAATATATTTTAAATAAAAAATTACATCATTGTCTTTGCCCCCAATTAACAAGCTTTAACAAGCTCATAGGCGTAGGTTAAACAGGTCAATGAGAAGCTATTAATAAGTTAGTAAATGTCAATAACTAAACTTGTGAGATAACATAATCTCCACATAAAATCAAATTATAATAAAAAAGTATTATATAATAATTGTTAAACTAAAATCATGTGTGACCAAAATATGCATACTAATATTAGATGAAATGATGGGTTTATATAATAATTTTGTTACAGAAAATCATTAAAAAGTTATGGGTACATACTAACAAGTCAATAGGAAAATATTAACAATTACCAAATATGTAGACAAAAAAAATATAAAAAAATAAAGCTTTTACCTTTCACTATTATCGGCATCTAGAACATTCAACCAAAAAAAAAATCAAACTAGAAATATCTTCAAGCCTTTGATTGATAAAGGATACCCAAAATGGTAAGAGAATAAATCAATATAAAATATAATAAAATCTATAGGCAGTATTTTTTTTTTTAAAAAAGTTATTATTTATTTGAGTGATAATTTCAAAAGCTCAGTACGATATGTAAAATAAACATATATCTAGTTTTTATATAATAAATAAAATTGAAAAATGTTATATCTATAATAAAATAAATAAATAAAAATATAGATATATATTTCTTATCTTTAATATAAGAAAATAAATAAAAATATAGATATATATTTTTTATCTTTAATATAAGAGTTAGTTAGGAATTAGATTTCGTCGTAAATATGATATTTTAATGTACTTTGCTTTTTATATTTATTATTTTCTCTCAAACTAATTTAGCTTCCCTATAAATTGATATATTATATGAAAGTCAAATGATAATTTAGGATATGATGAAATTGTTACATTTTTTTACTACTTTCAGGGCAAAAATTGCACTAAGAAAACTTTTCGAATACTCACGTATCCTTTTTGAAAACTTTAAGGGAAAATATTTTTTTTAACTTGGTTAATTTTAATTTGCAAAACAATCATAATTATTATAAAAATCATTATTTAAACCCGACAATTTTTTTTTTTGACCAGAAAACCCGACAATTTTAACATTAAAGTAAAAGCTCTAAATCTATACTTTATCCTGCACTCTTGGCTGCTCACATCGCCAATGTCACTCAGTAATTTGTTTCAGCTGGTAAATCCACTAAATTCTCTTCCTGTTGGGTTTTGAAACTTTAACTGTGTCTAACGTTATCTGTACGCCCTCCGTTCGTTTTCCGAAAATATCAAGGAACTTGAAGGAAGTCAGATTGATGAATTAACCGAGATTAATAATAACATAATTTAATCACAATAGTTTATCTATTAAATTTGATTTTTTCGGTTGAGATTATCTCATCGTTTACTTGATTGGGTGGGACTTTTTTTTTTTGGACTGAGATTGGGTGGGACTTGGATGTAACTGGATTTCTTCCTCAACCTCTGAACGTACAGATATTGATTGCTTTATTTGAGATTTCTCTGGGATTTTCAGGTAAAACTTGCAATTTTTTTTTTTTTTTTAAGAAACACTGCTTACTGTTTATTTGCGCATGTGAACAGTCCAGAAAATGACAATCCTTTTGTTGGTTTGCATTAATTGGATTTTGGATTTCTTCTTTTCGCCACAATTTAACTACTGACGTTTCATATGCTTGGGGTATCGATTATCCGTTTGACTTTTTTTACTCTGTTTGATGACCCTGCAACGGGAACTCTTCTTGTTCTTGCTTTTTCTTTTGGCTAATGTTTTGTTCTCTTTGAAACCTGTTCTATTTGTGTGCATGTATTTCTTTATTACAGGGAAATTAAAGCTCAAAATTGAGAAATATCTGGCACACTGAAGTTCAATGTTAGAAAATGCCTCGAGACTTATCCCGATCCCGATCACCATCTTATAGGCAAAGACATTCGCCATCCCCAGTCGGACAAAGGCATAGCAGGAGGAGCAGAAGAGACGGAAGCTGATCTCCATATTCTTTCTACTCTTATAGCAGGTGATCTCGTTTGTATTTTTGCTTTCCTTGTGCTAATATCCGTTGTCTCAAGTGGGAAAGAGTTGGGGCTCATTTTGATGTCATCATTTCAGCTAGAACATCCTACAATTGGTTTGGTCCCATTTCATTGGGAATCAGGCACTTCAAAATCGCCTTTCAACTGAAATTGTTACTTTGGGGCATATTATCAAGCAATTTGCATTGTCAGAGCTTACAATTCCTTTCCCGATGATTTCCCCTTCATATCTTTGACTTAACGTGTTGAAGTCTCTGATCATGCTTCATGGTGCTATCTGCTCCTCCGTTGAGAAGTACGCATTTCTCATTTCTGAATGCATCACAACCAGAAATTTGAAACTTGGCGAGGCCTTGCACTCTCATCTTATCAAATCCGCATTTTTCTTCGATTCTTTCCTTACCAACCGTCTCATAGACATGTACATTAAGTGCAGCTGTGTGGAGAGTGCCCAAAGGGCCTTTGAGGATCTTTCCCATAAGACAACACGTACGTGGAATATGATGATCTCTTTCTACTCTAAAATGGGTTTGTTTGACAGGGCTCACTCACTGTTTGATAAAATGCCTGAACCAAATCTTATCAGTTATAATTCATTGATCACTGGTCTGACACATAATGCGTTTCACAAAGAATCAGTGAAGCTTTTCTGGAGGATGCAGAAGGATTATGATTGTTTACTATTAGATGAGTTTACGCTCGTTAGTATAGTTGGCAGTTGTGCCTCTTTAGCTTCCCTTTATTGGTTGCGTCAAGTCCATGGGATCGCAGTTATAATTGGTTTCGAGGGGAACGTAGTCCTTAACAATGCTTTAATTGATGCTTATGGAAAATGTGACTTACCCAACATCTCTAGTTCTATATTTTATGGAATGCCAGAGAGAGATGTTGTGTCTTGGACTTCGATGATTGCGGCTTACACAAGGGCTACTAGATTGGAAGAGGCGTGTAGGATATTTAACGAAATGCCAATGAAAAATAATGTGTCTTGGACTGCTTTGATAACGGGTTTCTCACGAAATGGGCGTTTTGAGGAAGCTCTGGATCTTTTTGGGCAAATGCTGGAGGAAGGAGTATGGCCTAGTGCTCCAACTAATGTCACTGCCTTAAGTGCTTGTGCAGATATGGCACTTATTGAAAGAGGTAAACAAATCCATGGTCACATTATCAAAAACAGCAATAATGGCTACTTATCTGATCTGTATATATCTAATGCTTTAATTGATATGTACAGCAAGTGCGGGGATATGAAATCGGCTGAAAATTTGTTCAACACGGCTCCTTTGAGGGATATAATCTCTTGGAACACATTAATAACCGGGTTTGCACAGAATGGCCACGGTGAGGAATCACTGGCTCTCTTCAAAAGGATGATAGAAGCCAATGTAAAGCCAAATCATGTGACATTTCTTGGCTTGCTATCTGCTTGTGACCATGCAGGTTTAGATAATGAAGGACTAGAGTTGAAAGACATGATGGAAAAGCAGTATGGCTTGAAGCCTAGACTTGATCAATATGCTATATTGATTGATTTGCTTGGGAGGAAAAACAGATTCGAGGAAGCTCTGGATTTAATCGAGAGAACACCAGATGCTACGGATCACATTGCCATTTGGGGAGCACTACTGGCTGCTTGTCGTGTCCATGGGAATTTGGACCTTGCAAGTAGGTCTGCAGAAGCTCTGTTCAAGCATGAACCTGAAAACACAGCTAGATATGTTATGCTGTCAAACATATATGCAGCATTAGGAAGATGGAATGATGCCAATAGAATCAAAAGAATCATGAAGGAGAAAGGCTTAAAGAAAGAGGCAGGTTGCAGTTGGATTGAGTTAAGAAATACAAGACATGAGTTTAGAGCCAAGGACAAGTGTCATGGCCAAATTGTAGAGATATGTGGAATAATCAGTAACTTGGTCCATAATATGAAAGATGTTGGATACCAATATCATAACAGTTGCCATTCTCTTCCTGGTGAATAAGACAATTTATACTTTTACTAGATCACACTTCTCAGTTTGATTTTTAGTAAATAGGAATGCTGGCTTGATGTGAATAATATGGTGGCTAAGACATAACAGCTCTTTTGAGGATCCATGCGCAGGCCGCGTCTCTTTGTGGAGGTCCTTTTAATGTTGTTTAGCACTAATGTTGTACCTTATACTCTGAGAATGTACACTTGGCAATGAATTACTCACGTTGAATTGTATTTACAATTTTGTCACGAACTCATTTGATCAATTATGGGAATTGATTTGCATGAGTTTTATTCATATATTATATATAGCTGTTGTTGGCACCCTTCAAGCTTTCATTTAGCTTACTCTGTGTGTGGGTGTGTCAACTACATACCAAACCAAGCCCGCCCCATGTCCCTATCGATTCATGTTGTAAGCTAAAAGTCTAATAGTCAAAGGGGGACTTTCAACAAAGTGCAAAGCGATGGACTTCGATGTCAACTGGGCCTTGAACCCATGAGCCCAAACCAATTTAGGTAGAGAGAGTGACGGAATTTTGTATTGAATTAGTGACGATAATCTCCGGTTTTATCAAAACCTGATCGAGATATATCATGCTCCTTCCCATTCTAATTATACAACATAACTAATCTGCAAAAAAAGTTAATATAATCTTTGGTTTATAAAGTTTGCTTTTATTTTAGTTTTAGTTCCTCAAATTTCAAATTATAGGTTTTGGTTTCTTAAGGAATAAAACATTCCAAGTTTTTATTAGATTATGGGGATCAATATTTTAAATTAAAAAAAATTTGAGGGACTAAAACCTATGGTTTAAAATTTGAGGGATTAAAACCAAAATGATGATTAACTTAAAAGATCAAAGTTTTTATTAACCTTTGCAAAAATTAAGAAAATTAATTTAGTTATTTATAAAAGATATGTGTTGGTTTTCTTAAAATATTTTTTCTCATTGTTTGCATTGAAATTGAAATTATCCTTGATGATATCTCTCTTAGCAAATGCAATCAATAGATATTATTTAAAAAAAATTATAGATTTGAGACATAGAGTAAATTAAAGATTTATATTATAGCTGAAGTTATTAAAAAAAAACTCTCAAAAAAGCATAAAGATATGAACGAGCACAAACAACTAAACCAGAAAAAGAAAAGAAAAAAGCAAAACAATCACTCGTTACCAAACTAGAACAATATTACAAAGTCACAGTAAAAATACAAACATGACAACTAACAGCAAATACAAATAAACTCGAAAGCCATCACAGCAAGCTTGAAACCTCAACCAATTCCATTTCTTTCGGCCTTGCACTCTTCCTCAGTCCTTATACCTCCTGCAGAATTAATGCTGAGATGACATATTGTAGTTCTCATCCACTTCTTCAATCTGCACCCTCACCATATTCCCCTTCTTGCATCACCAGAAAACATCAGCACAATCCACTTCTATTACAGCTCTTACTTCCTTCACAAGGCAAAAAGTCTTCTGCACAGCTAATGTCCTAGCAACAAAACACCACTGCATCACACCCTTTTTATTCCTACGCATCACACCTCTTGTAGCAGAACCAGTTTCTGGTTCAAAGTATCCATCACAATTAATTTTAACCAGTCCATCTTCCGGTAAAACCCACTTTTTCCTCCTCCTCCTCCTCCTCCACCATTCTGTTCCACCACTTAGCACTCCAAAACTTTCTAACTGCTCTACCATTAAACAAACATTTTAATTAGCTTTTATATTTAGGACCGGAGGGAGTATATAAATGTGTTTCTTTGATTTCCTTTTCTTTTACCAAGACACATGAAAAAATATTAAGCAAACCACGTAGCCACTTGTTTTGTTGCACATACACATTGAGTAGCGTTGATGAAGCTAACATGATTCTTTAAGATTCACTCGTGATTTATTGAAATGAATGTAGGCTCAATATAATATGTAACAATAGAATTATTCCTCTGCTTGTTTAATTGATTTAATTGAGCTTGCATCATATTAAAATGATATAAAAACTAAGCAGTACAAAAAAAACTACTAAATTAACTGATTAAAAAAAAAAAGAATATCTAACATACTATAACTCACAAAAAAGCTAAAGAAGAATGAACTGATTTATGCTTTTATTGCAATCAATCTTGATTACACTAAAATAATGGGCATCTAAATTGTGACTGCGTTAAAAGCCTACACTGCTATCTACAATTTAAAAAAAAAAAAAGGAAAAATTTGAAGTTCTAAATTGAATTCCTTTGTGCTTCTATTGACTTGTTGCGTTGCTTCTCTTTCTTCTTCATCATCATCCTCAAAGCTTGACAAGTGCCATACAAAGCTTGTTGTGAACATCACGAAATGCCCAAATCTGAATCGTGTCAGTTTGTTGAAGTCCATCTCTTAAAACTATTGTATTCCAGTTAGTTCTCAAAACATATTGATAACTTACTTTCTGAATATCATTCTTATCTTTATGCAAATCCCACTGTTCCAATTCCATTGATGTCTCTATAAGAGGAAGAGCCACCCCATTTCTTCTTGGTGTGTGAATCAAAGGCACCGTAATGGATTGCCCAAGCCTTAGTTGTGTCATCTCATTTTCATCCAAGAACTTGAAGCTTTCAACTTGGTTACAAGGTATTGTGACCCGACTATGTCCTTTGCTTACATCCGTACTAGTTAAGGACTTTTGTATGACTCTTGTGATTCTTGTTCCGCCATATTCATCTATAATCTTTCTTTCAAATTCTTTCAACAACCTTGGTCGTGGTGGTGGATTTTGGTGACTACCCGGCTTCTTCTTGTTTTTCTTTCTCTTCATTTCTATAGCCTCAGTCCATTCTTTGTTACTTATAGTTTCTTCCAATTTTCTCTTTAGTGTATCAGTCTTTTTTGAAGACCTATCCTTCTGTTACACAAAAAAAGCAATCAATCAAATAAACCACAACAAAAATATAAGACTAATTTTGAAACCATATGATTCACCAATTAAACTAAAGATAGTACTTTCAATCAAGTCACCAGACTTTCTTTTCACATCATGTATCATTGAGGGGTCTTTAATGGCATAGCTGATGAGATTTTGGTCCTCATTATGTCGTCTCCTTATCACAAATTTTAGAGGCTTCATCTTCTCTTTGACCAGTATTCTTCGAGCTCCTTTACAAGACATGTCATTTCTACCCAAGTTAGGCTCAATATTTTCATTATTCATATTGGGCAAATCATACTTTTTGGCAGCAACAAAGGCAACTTGCAACAGTATCTCCAAAGAGCTCAAATTATTATTACTCTGTTTCATGCTTTCAAAATCTTCCATACTCAACAAATCAGACATTCTCTCTATTGCCTTTTTCTGCATTTCAGACAAAGATGTCCGAATTTTGATCAGCTAGAGTTTCAGATAAATCTATATAAACAAGATGAGAACAGAATGGCACGGTCTATGCTAAAATGAAACTTCATATTAAGATCAGATCATTCCAAGTATAAGCAGCTTTGAGTTTACCATACTTGAAATAAAAGAGGCACGTATAGTCACTAGAATATAATATAGATAATATAATATCTATGAAATGTATGAGTTGAATGTCTTTCTCACACCAAAATGTAAAAGCTGACACCATAAGACCCAGAATAACTTTTTTATAAAGAGCAAGAGGATAATTGATTCAAAACTATATAAGTCCAATTTGATGCGAAGAAGTGGCTCTAAACAGGTTCAGACTCGACCACATTAAACAAAATTTGACCACAGGAAATCTTGTCTTATTATAAACAAACTAATTTCACACCCCCTCCCCCCAATATCACAACATAAGGACGGAAACTAGATACGTTTTATGCTAATGATAAACTATTAGGCCCGTCAGCCCAAAAAAAAGAAGAAGCTAATGAGCCCCATTCAATTACAACTAAGGAAAGGTAAGCGTTTTTTGTATTTAAAACATAACGATTTTGCATTTCATTAATTTTTCCATTCCATTTCATCTCACAGAATCAATTGACATAATAATAATGATAATGATGAGAAAGGAGAAATGGAAATGCTTACCAATTTCCCCAAACGTCTATGTAGGTGCGTTCTTTCTCTGGTTTCTTTATTGGATGATTTTATTCTGGTTACAACACTTGAATTTGGTATCACAATTAATTCGAAATTTCCAGATATTAGAATAATAATAATAAGAAGAAGAAAAAGAAGAAGAACTTACCCCTAGAAGAGAGTGGGAAGTTGAAGTGTGATGCTTTGTTTGTTTGTGGCTTTAGAAAGTAGAAGTGAGTTCACTTTCTGAATGTTGAATTAGAGACTAATGGTCGTGAACGTGAAATGAGAAAGAAGATTTAAGCGGCTTCAAAAGGAAACTTGGTAGGAAAGTATGTCAATTCACTCCGTTTTGAATTAGGAAACAAACGTAGTTTCCTAATCTGAGATTTTTTTTTTTCCCATTAAAAAAGTTAATCATCAAATTGTACCGTTATATATATGCGTTTGTGTGTGTATGCATATATTACCCACTTAAATGATCCCGGTTTATTTCAAAGCCAAAATTTTGATCCGGTTCTTAATTTAGAACCTGAGGTTATAGTTTCCTAACCTGAAGTCTGATATTAGATCGTTCTGTTTCTGTTATAGAAATATGCTTCTTCTACTTCTTTTTAAAAAAGAATCAGTTTAAATTCCAACAATTCAGGGTTTAATAAAATTAATAAAAAAATTAATTTCCGGAATTGAAGTTGCTTAATTGATTATCTTTCTAGTATCCAAATTATGATTTGTATTAATTGCAATCCACCTCTCTCTCTCTCTCTCTCTCTCTCTCTCTCTCTCTGGGAGCTCAATCTTGATGGTGAATTTCTTCTCTAATATCTAAATTGTGATTTGTATTAATTGCGGGATTTTTGACTTCTTTTTTAAACTAATAATTAGTAATCAGAAACTGCATTTATCAAATCACTCCAAGTTTGAGAGAAGGAGGAGCATTGTCCGATGTATTTCAGCAGTTTGCATTCATTAAAAAAAAAATCCCTCTACTCCTATATATAAAATACAGATACTCAACTTATATATATATATTAAAATTTTTTTAAAATTAATTAAAAATAATAAATATATAAAATATATATTTATTTTTTAAAATATACCCTTCTAAAGAATGTCATTAAGAGAGAATGAATAAAAAAAAAAAAAAAGACTATAAACAATGGGCTCAAAAAAGAGATG